GTTACACCACAGTGTCAATGGCTGCCTGCCTGGTTTCCTAAAGTACGATCTCCTTTTGTTACAGGTCAGCGGAAGCTCTACACTGCACCGGTGAGGAGTGTACTACGGTTACGCCCACTGCACCTTTTGGTGGCTACAGGCGGAGGTTATGCGGGGTACAAGCAATATGAGAATTATAAGGAGAATCAGCTCAGAAAGTCGGGTTTAGAGCCACCCCCTAAAATCGCAAGTGATTGGGAGGTAAGTTGTGGAAGTTTTTATGCCATGTTCTTAAACGTCTCACCATCCCTTGCTAAAAACAACATGAACTTGCCGAATGTAAAATGAAATGAATGGTGTGGTGCAGTGGCTCTAAAGTTTTGTGTCTTGGGTGTGAGAAACCCAAGTTGAATTCCCTGCTGAGCTCTGCAGCTTGCTGAGTGGCTTTGAGCAAGTCACAGAGTGCCAGTCCAGGGCTGCTATGAGGTGTAACCATCATTCTGAGTTTCTTTGAGGAAGGGCAGAACACCAGTATGCATTAATAAGTATTCAGCCTTTTTTCCTCTTCTTTTTCTTTTTGGACCCACCTATCACCTTTTATCTTGCTCCCTGGGGGTGTCATGACTAGTGGCATTTTGGTTTAGTTGCCTGTTGTAATAGTGATGATAGCAATGAAATTTTTCTAGAAAAAGAGGTGCTGGAACTCACCACAAACACCTCCCTTGTTCTCTTAAAATGACAATGGTGCCCAGTTGAGAGGTGCTGGAAATGAGTTCTGGCGAGCTCTGGCTTTTAAAAAAGCCCTGTGTGATAGTAATAAGGAGGGAGGGCCATATTGCTCCATGGTAGAGCACCAGCTCTCAATGCATAAGGTCCTAGGTTCAGTTCCCTGCTTCTCCAAGTAGGGCTGAGAAAGACGGCAGTCCGAAACCCTGGAGAGCCACTTATAGTCAGGGCCTTTTCTGGACCACAAAAGGAGAGGGGTCTTTAAAGCGTTTGGGTGATGAGTGCAAAGCGGGTTCTGTGTGTGGGTCTCTTACCTGGATGAGTGGTAATGCAGTCACCGGTGGTTGTAGTACTTGCAACATGGAGCTTTCCTTCACCAGGGCTCTAGGGTGGCTAATTAAATGAGTGAACTTTGGATGGCTTGATTCCATTAGGAACTAGATACGAAGAAGTGCAACTGCATAGACTGTAGTTCTGATGCTCCTGTGTGTCTGTGTGTATTCAGCCAGTGACTCTGCAGGTGTTGAATACAAGGTCTGAGCCATGCCAACCCTCTTGTTCCTGCTGGTCTGATTTCTGTGTCCTGTAGTTGACTCCTTGAGCAGAACAGCTTGTTCTGTTGGTGCTGAGGAATGTTTCTGGGACTGTTTTCTATTTCTCTCTGTGTTTCTGCAAGTGGTCTCCATGGTGTATAAATGTGGTATGCCCCTTTTGCTTTAAAAACTGCTGGCACCCAACCTTTACACTTTTGCATCTGCCCATTATCTCGCTCTTGTGGGGTAGGGGGGATGAACACAGGTCATAGTTAATGCTCCTTTTTTGATGTTAACATTTCTGTATAGCTTCCTCCTGCCCTGTAAATCAAGTGTCCCAGCTCAGAGCCTCAAATCAAGTGCTAAGATGTTGGAATGCAGTGTTTACTGACAAGTCTTGCGGCTTGGCTGGCCCCTAATTGCACCCCTGAATTGAATGGTTTGCCAAATTAATAGTAGAATGGGGGAGGCTGTCTTGCTTCTTGCTGCAAACGGTTTGTTACAACAATGGGAGGCTCAAAAAACATAAAAGCTTGATTGTTCAAAGTGGAGTCTATTTTTGCTGACACCCCCCCCCATTGCAGGTTTTTTTGTATCCTTGGTCACAAATGACTGAGCTTTTCCCACTTCTGTATGGTTAATGAGTTGTGTAGCTGCCCATCACCAAGGCAGCAATGGATTGCTGGGAGAGAGAGGGGCTCGCCCCTTGATTCAGTCTCCAGTACACAGGGCTAGCCTATTTGTGTTGGTAGGAAGGTGTTACGTTTTAAATTGCACTTGAGCTTGCTGCAAAGTGGCAAGGGTGCACAGAGTCAGAGTGTATAAAAGAGGCAAATTTCACAGAGAAGCAGTATCGGTCATTAGGACTGCTATGGCACTAATTTCATCAAATAAAAATTAGTTGTGTTCTGTCAGCTCATCCAGTTGTTGGAGCCTCCATTGCTGGTCTGGATCAAAACTGCTTTGTGAGATCAACATAAATTTATGGAAAAGTATGTCATAGAATCATAGAATTTGTGGAGTTGGAAGGGATTCCAAGGGTCATCTAGTTCTAGTCCAAACCTCTGCAATGCGGAAAACACAATTAAGATTCCCTGACAGATGGCCATTTGATTCCCAGCAGGTGTCAGCATTAAGTTGTTAAGCACCAACCTTGCTTTAAAGCAGGCTTCCTCAAACTTGGCCCTCCAGATGTTTTTGGCCTACAACTCCCATGATCCCTAGCTAGCAGGACCAGTGGTCAGGGATGATGGGAACTGTAGTCTCAAAACATCGGGAGAGCCAAGTTTGAGGCAGGGATGGAGTACAGCCTATGCCCTTCCAAATGTTGCTGCTGGGGCTACTGGGAGTTGCAGAGTCCAGCAGCACCTGGAGAAGGGCCACTATTTCCCCATTCTTGCTTTGACCTAGAGCTCTGCTTCCAGCTTTTCCAAAGTTAGATCGCACTGTGAATATGAGAGGGGGATTTACTTCCATTTAATTAGATGAATGAATGGCTCGGGTTGCAATGGGTAGACATGTTATCATGCAGCCAAGAGGCCGAGAATCCAAAAAGCATTTCCACAGTTCACGGGCTGTGTCCAAAGGGGTTAGAGGTCTTTAGGGAGAAGAAGCCTTTCCTCCAAAGAGCTCGGCATTCTTGCCACATCGATTTACACAAGGAAGCCTTGACCAAAGAATGTGCTTGTGTACACTTGGCCGGATGAGAGCAGCTTTTCGCCTTGAGCTGCAGCTTGTTCATTTTATATTTCCCTTTGGTGTGTGAAAAAGCTCCCTGTTTTTTTTGTTAATGAAGAGACTCTTAGCCATTCTAGTGGGCTGCTTTGTATCTTTGCATTTCAGAATGGCTGTTTCTGTATGGCACAGACCTGGGGATTCTGCATAAAAGATTTTTCTACCCCTTCCAGTTGTTTGTTAGCTGCCTTGAGTACCATTTGTTGGAAAGGTAGAATGCAAATTGAGCAACAACAGCAAAAGTTGTTTACTATTTTACTATTCAGTTAATGAATTTACAGTGGTACCTTGGTTTAAGAACAGGTTAGTTTATGAACAACTTGGATTAAGAACGCTGCAAATCCGGAAGTAGGTGTTTTGGTTTGTTAACTTTGCCTTGGAAGCAGAACATGTTCCGCTTCCTGTTGAGTGTGTTCCATTTGTAAATTGCGTCCCCTGCTGCTATGGGAAAGCACGTCTTGGTTTAAGAGCGCTTTGGCTTAAGAACGGACTTCCGGAACGGATTAAGTTAGTAAACCAAGGTACCATTGTATATCTCACTGATTTAGTGGCTAACAGTTAAAAACACTAGAAATGTTAGCAACAAATTCATATAAAAGCAGCACAAAACAGCAGTGGGATAACCTTAGCAGCCAGGTATAATGATGGGTAAAATCAAAAGATCTACAACACTTGGGCAAATGAAAGGACATCTCGGTTTGCCTCAGACCAAGTTCCTTGTATAAGTGAACCCCTGTAAATTTGGCTCTCCTGTGTGCATAGGGTGAAATTCTCTGCATGCATGCAGTGGTCATCATAGGCTCAGATAAAGCTACTGAGAGAGGGTTAAGTTGCTGAGCTTTTTGTTGTTTCCCCTGCTCCCCACTATTTTATTTTCATTTAAATGTAAACACCAAATACTATTGCACAATTGGGCTCAGAATAGATAACGGGAATGCTGCCTACTACCCAGGTAGGAAAGGTGCTGCCAAGATCCAAGAGAACTCTGTGAACTTTGGAGGAGCCCCAGTTCACAGTGACATCTGACACTGAGCACGCGGCGCGTAACCTGGCCTGTTCATGCAGCTTAGCCGTTCCTAGCTCTGGAGAGGGAACCTTAGTGTGATGGGCCATACTTTGGCACCTGACCAGCCCTAAGAAACATGAAGCCCCAGTGGCGCTTCACCGACGTAGCCTTTTCTGGCGGAGGGGAGTGGCATGCATTGATGAGTGATCCACTCTGATGACATGGCACACTCTGCTGAAAGGGTACAAATTGCATCTGTGGGCTCTGTTGCAATATGATATCTCCTGCTGCATGAGATCCTGACTCAGAAAATAATCAATGGAAAACCCCAAGCGGGGACTCCTTTCCTGAGCCTAAGTTTGCTGCTGGTACAGAATGAACTGTAATGTGGGTCAGTCTGGCTGCATTGCCAGTAAGTATAGTTAAAATGAGTGAAAAGTAGCCTCAGCAAGCAGCCTCCTCCATCTGCAGTGTGAACTTAATGGACAGGGTTGTTGTAAGTGTATTTTGAACACTTGGAAATGTAATAACAAATTACTTTTGCTGCCTCATAGCCCAAAATTTCCAGATGGTGTACATAAAAATAATTAAAACAGAATATAAAAGAATAAAAAGTACAGTAAAACAATAGTATAGATAGATCGCTAGATGCAGTGATGTGAGACAGAAAATATTCCAAAACAATTTCCCCCTAATGCTTCATTTTTCTGTGGAAAAATAACAGCTATTTGATGTTAGCAACTTTGAGTGGGAGAAAAGCCAGCAATAAATGTATAAATAAGGAAATGGTTGTTCAGGAAACCACATAGTGTTAAATGGAAAAAAAATGACTTCTTTAAAATTCTGCCTGTAGTTATTCCACAGAAGCCACGTGTCTTTGACTCTGTACCTTCTGAGTCATTTTTGAGCAAATAATTATTTAGCAGGTTGAGAGAGAAGAAGAACCCCAAACGTTTAAAATCTAGGGTCATCTCCTCAGAGATACAGAAGTTAAGCTGTGCTAAAATTATTGGGAATAATTGTTGTGGTTATTATCCTCTTATTTTATTTTCATTTAAGAATCACTTCTCATGAGGCATCTCAAAGCGATTTAGTATATAATATGAGCATATATAAAACAGTTACACGTATGCAACAGTTTGAAACAATTGCATATATAAAAACAAATTACACACACATAAACATGTTTTCAACAACAGCACATACACCAAATCAGTTCATATCCCATACAGGTACCAGTCCTTTGCTGTATGCATGCTGGTATCTGTGATTTTCAGAACCTTGCAATACTGAGGACTAGAAACACTCACTGCTTTTATAATCCACTTTGGAATGAACAAAACTTGTCCATCAGTATTTAGAATGCATGCTGCTTTTCCAATGCAGCTCACCTGAAGAAAAAAATAGTATAAAATCACAAGCTCAAATAAAACACAAAGTAGTTAACCAGCACTAGTTAATATCCCTCTGGATAAATAAGCTTTACATTCTGTTGAGAAAGTTGTGAGGGAAGAGGAACCTAGAATCCTCAGAAAAGCTCGTACACTAAAGACACTGCTCTGTACAGCTGATGGCATCACTTGGCATAGCAAAGGGTTTTGGAGCAAGGCCTGGGTAATTGTATGGGGTGTTAGTGGTTTGTTTGGGGTGGAACCACTTGGTGCCTTACTGGCAAACATAATATTCCCAACCCTGTGACACCTGGCTTCTGTGGAATAACTACAGGCAGAATTCACAACCCACAATCCTCCAGGGGGTGGAGGACCTACAAGGTAGAATTGGTGGTTGTGGGAGGAGTGCCCTCAAGGTAACTTCTTGAATCAAAGCCTGGTTGGGGAAGACATTATATCATCTCTCACCATTTGATTCTCCCTGCAAATCATGAAGACAGTACTGACCTAGATCAGGGGTAGGCAACCTAAGGCCCATGGGCCACAAGCGGCCCACAGGGGTCGTTTAACCGGCCCCCAAACCGGCCCCAAACCGAGCCGCCTGCTTGGCGAGTCCCCACGCGCTGCGCTAAACCAGCACGGTGCAGGGACTCACTTCCACAGGGCTGAAATCGCGTCTGCACAGACGCAGGAAATCGTGGGCGGGTGCGCTCACGTGCACGCGCAGTCTGGCCCATGGAGGGATCTCCACTGGAGTGAACCGGCCCAGGCGTGGTAAACCTTGCCGACTCCTGACCTAGATGGACCAACTGGTCTGACTCAGTAAAAGTTAGCTTCCTTTGAAGGCTGTAGCTCAGTGGCAGAACCTTGGCTTTGCATGCAGAAGTTATCGGGCACAATCCATGGCAACATTTCCAGGTAGGGCTGGGAATAGCCTGTCTGAAACCCCGGAGAGCTACCAGGGTAGAGGGACCCAATGATATGTCTCTGTGTAAATAGAGCTTCCTGTGATCCTTACGAACAGCACATATGCAAAACAGAGACATTTCTACAAAGAAAATCTATTGGGGAATGCTACAAAACTTTTAGCTATGCCAACATTTTTTAGCCAGAATTTTGCCAATTTTTCTTTATATATTTTCATTTATTTAACAAGATTGGTATTCCTCCTTAATCAAACAAATCACTAAGTGCTTTATTTGTTTGCAATAAAATTTCTACCATGCATTTATTTGCAAGCAGAAGGCACAAGGCAGCTTATAATAAACCCAAATGAAGCACTATAGCAATAATATAGATTAAATAATATATTAATATAGATTTAAAAAGCAGATTGCTAATACAATACAAAGCAGGCAAAACAATACAAAGTTGCTAAACAAATGCAGCGGAAACCCCCTTCTGGAAAAGGTGCAGCTGCTGCTATGCTACCATCTGGCTTCTTCTGGTTCCTGGGCAGAGGCTTGCACAATCTGCCCACCCCTGAAGGACTGTCTGTGCTTGTCGGGAGAGGAAGAGTATATTTGGTGCCTGGCATCAGCAAGTGCTTATGGCTGTGGCTGGCTGATAATTTTGACTGCAAACTTGTGAGTTGCTGGTTTAAATATGTTTCCTGGAAGTGCGTAGGGATAAGTGGAGGAGGAATGTGAGTTAAGATCTGGGAAGTGTGGTTATTGTTCCTTTTGTCTGAAAGCTGGAGAAGTGCCCCAGTCAGCTAAGCTTGGAAACAGTGAGAAAGGGGACTCAGTGGACAGAAGGAGGGGCTTGCCCTCCCTCTCCCTTCCCACAGTGGTTTATAAAAGGAGCTGGAGTAACAACAGTCTGCAGTTGGAGCCGGTGACAGGACAGCGGAGCCAGGATTTGAGGAAGGCAGTCACCATCCCAGCCTACAGCGCCCAACCTTTTGCCCTTGCAAAGGTGCTTGAGAGCCCTCTGAAAATCGGGTAGCTAAATATATTCACATGGTCTATAGACCCTTTTGATTTCTACTGTTTCTCCTCTGTAGAGAGTCTTTTCGTGTGAATAAAATTTTAATTACAGTCCTGGGATAGAAAGATGAGGTCGTTTTGAGTTTCCCCTCTTTAATGGGGTTTCTTTTATGATGGGGTAGTAGCCTTGAAAAGCATCCAAAGTAGTTCAGGATAAATGATCACACTATTTAGAAAGTCCACACAAAAGTGTGATGCTCTTTAATCCACTGTGTGTAGAAAGTACTTTGGACTTCCTATAAATGGGTTTAGTGCTTTTCCCAAAGCCCCACTTTCAGACAAAGAGGGCTTCCTTTTTCAAACTTCCTTTTTCAAGCCTCAGCCTGAAATACTTTGGGGGTTTGTGAGAGTCCTAATGACTCATCCGCAGCTTCCCAGCCCCCTGATGGTCTCTGTACAGGCTGGGCAGAGCCTGTGAGCAACTGGTGGGAGTCAGAGTGCCTTGTTATCATCATGAGTTTTATCGCCCCTCCTTCCTCACTCTTAGGCTTTCTGCCTTGCCGCCTCCTCTTAAAGAAGCACAAGGCATATTCTGGCATTTGGGGGATATCTGTGTTTTATGACAGAGATGGAACAACCTTAAGAGTTCTCATCCCGTAAGTCCGAGTAACTGAAACTTCAGCTGAAAGAGGCAGTTTCCACTTTCTGTTGATCTCTTAATGAAAGTTCCAGACTGAGCCAGTTCTGAGCCTGCACTCCATGAGAGGATGAGTAAAGGGTATTTTATCAGTTACTGCAAAATTTCAGATTCCATGTTGAGATGTATATAATTTATCTCTTACTTGTTACAAGCTTCCTCACTGTCTAAATATGAGGTGGTGGTGGTGATTATTATTAATTGAATTTATATACCACCCTATATCCGGAGGTCTCATGGTGTTTTTTTGCCCTTTTGTGTGTTTTTAAGAAAGAAGTGGGGCTTGTTATTCAGATTATTATTTTTTTGTCTGTGTTCAGTCTACATCAGTGATCCTTTACATCTAGCCTGGAAGAATTTCTACCAAAAACAGCTATTTGGGCAAGGTTGCTTTCGTTTTGAACCGGGGCTTCAGCTTCCTGGCAGTCTTGCATGCAAAGATGTGAGTTGCAGAAAGCTTTTTCTTCCTGTGAATATGCTTGAGAATTTAATTGCTTGTTAAATATTTAGTTGACATAATGTAAACTGCTTTCTACAATGCATGTGCACATTCTCCTGCTGTTACAATAATAATATTAAGAGATAGTGCCCCTGTTTATTATAATTGCATCTGCTTGATGCGATTTTAATAAATGGGGTGAGGACTTTTGAAGGGGGTGCTGATGATGTCAGTGAAAGTTATTTCCTAATGTTATTTCTATGGTTTTCACATGGAAATAACTACCGTATTTAAGACACCCCCATGTATAAGATGCCTCCTATTTTGGGGGACTCCGATTTAAGAAAATGGGATATCCGTGTATAACACACCCTCAAAATTTGGACATTATTTTTAAGGAAAAAACCTAGTTTTAGGCATGAAAAAATACAGTACTTCCCATTTCAGAAATAAAAACATCATCAGAATAATTGGAGAACTTTAAGTAGCATTTCATTTGCCCTGGCTGTGGCATTCCTCTTAAGCAGCCACCCTGGTGCCCTTCAGATGTTGTTGGACTGCAGCCCCATCAGCAGACAGATAATTCTTTCCCATAACCTAACCCTTCTATTGCTGGAGAGATTGAACCTTGGACTTCCTATGTGCAAAGCACCTGTTCTGCCACTGACCTATAGTAGTGGTAGAGTAGAGAGCCCTTTCAGCACTTGTATACTGTCAATTTTTTACAAATAGTTAATAAAAACAAGAAGTTTGCCTTCAATTGAACGTATACATAATTGCATTGCCATTCTCTGCTACGTGGTGAAGGCTGTCTGGAAAATCATGTGACTTCTTTCAGTTTGTGTCAGACGCATGATTTATGTTTCCGTTGTTAGGTCAGATTTAGCATGTGCTGTCTCGATACTGAATGCTCCTTTCTTTGCAGGAGTTCCCTGCACACAGCAAAGTAACATTTCAATTCTTCCTGACATGTAAGCTTTCTATGTGCAAGGATATTGTTGCTATTATTATTGTTCTTAACAGAGGAGAATTCTGCCATGTGAGTCTCCATCTGTAGCCTGAAGTGTTACATCCAAGAAACACATTTATTAATCTGCTGTTTATAAATAGGTGAAGATTGCCAGATCTGCTTGTTTGAGCAGTCAGAATCTAAGTTGGTTATAATTCAGCATATCGCTGTAAATATACATCATTTTTAATCACCAAAGTATTAATCAAAAGTGAGGAAAAAATAAGGCTGTCTAGCCAGGAGCTTTTACCACAGTTTTGTTTGTATGTAGACTAAAAGATGGCCATTCTCTTGGGTTTACAGAGGTGTGGTGAGTGTCGTGGAACTGGAATATTTGAGTGAACTTAAAGCCAGGGATGAGGGAGAAATTCACTTCAGTTTACTTTTAAAGGCAAATTTACCAGATTCACACTTTCTGAAAAGATATGCAAACAAACACAGGGCCTTCCTTTAAAAATTGCACCACACTGAATGAATTACAGTGCAGTTCCCCAGCCAAGTAATAAGTTGTGTTTTTTTTAAGCATACAGTTGTACCTTGGATCTCAAACGCCTTGCGACTCGAACGTTTTGGCTCTGGAACGCCACAAACACAGAAGTGAGTGTTCTGGTTTGTGAATGTTCTTTGGAACATCCTACGTGGCTTCCACGGCTTCCAATTGAGTGCAGGAAGCTCCTGCAGCCAATTGGAAGCTGTGCCTTGGTTGTCGAACGTTTTCGGAAGTCGAATGGGCTTCCAGAACAGATTCTGTTCGACAACCAAGGTGCAACTGTATATTTGGGTAAAGTATGCATGAAAATGCATATACAGTATTTGTGAAAACAGCATACAAAAATACATTATAGTAGGGGAAATTGCTTTGCAAAAAGATGTATATTAGTTAAAATTGCATTAAAAGGGTGCTTATTAGGATAAATTTGCCCTAAAATGCTGATTAATATTCATGAGGATTTTTTTTCTTAAATTCACAAATTTCCACAGAAACTGAATTTAAGATTGGAAAAACATGACACTGAGACCCAATACTGACAAATCTATTCTCAATTTAAAACAGTCAGTTCCAAGAAAGTGCTCTGATGAGATGGAATGTTGGGGTGTTTCTCTCTGTTGCCAATCTTGGGGGTCAGGTGGATAAGAGTACAGTCGTATCTTGGATCCCGAAGGCCCTGGAACTCGGACGTTTTAGCTCCCAAACGTCTCAAAGTGATTGTTCGGTTCTGGTTTGCAAACGTTCTTTTGGAACTTGAATGTCTGACGGGGCTTCCGATTGGCTGCAGGAGCTTCCTGCAGCCAATCAGAAGCTGCGATTTGGTTTTCAAATGTTTTGGAAGTCGAATGGACTTCTGGAATGGATTCTGTTCGACTTCCAAGGTACGACTGTACTTGGCAAACACTATCCCTTTTCCCAGGTGGCAGCAAAGTTCACGAAGTACAACCTGATGTTGCAAGTGAGATGCTTAAAATCCGGCTGCAGGACTTTTGTGCTTTTTTTGGCTCCTGAAGTACTTGAGACCAGAGCTCCTTTTAGAGCCACGTGGTATTAGTGCAAGGCTAGGAGGTGCATCAAGGTGAAGCTGGAACTTCCAGTTGAAAAAGTCAGAAGAATTTTCAGTGTTAATAAGAAAACAGAAATACGGACTCTACATTTAATTCTTTAAAAAAGCAATGAAATAAATGTAGCCAGGCAAAGCTAAACTTTGCCTTAAGAGCATAATGGTGGTTTTTCTTCAGGGACTTGCAAGCTGGTGCTCTCGCCTTGAGAGGGGAGAGTTTCTCTTTTTGAGCATAGCTTTAAGGGGTGAACTGAGCACTTCCGTCACTCTTGGCCACTTCCTCTGGGGAACTTTCTACTCTGTGAAGTCTGCATGTCTCTCTCTCTTTCTCTTGTGAATCAGGTAGCCATCTTTTTGCCTTGTTTTTCTTTACTGAAGAAATGGACCCTGCAGCTTTACTTTTTTCTTTACTGAAGAAATGGACCCTGCAGGGGTTGCTTGACCAGGGGTGTGGGGGGGCAGGTGAGGGCTTTGAATGGGTGGCCAGCCCTGCGTAGATGATATTCTTCACTTGCATTCTGAAGCCTTGGCTGTCTCTTCTCTTCAAGCAGCATTTGGCAGTCATTTCAGCATTTCACCTCCAAATCAAGGATGCCCAGTATTTGCTTACCCATGGATGAAATCAAGGGCCTTAGAAATAAACTGGCGGAGGGTATTGTTTTTGTCTGTTACAATGTTAGTACCATATATATATATATATATATATATATATATATATATATATATATGCAGGTTTTGGTGTCCTCGGGTGTCTTCCCGTGTAAAAGTTGGGGTGTCTAGGCGACGTTTCGACGAGGTCTCACTCGTCATCTTCAGGCTGGTGCTTTCGGCTTCTTGTTACTGGAACAGAGCAGGATCTCAGTGTTTGAGTTCCTATAAATACTGTTGAGGGGGTGTGGTGTATAGCCTCCAATGTTCTGGGCAGAGAGGAAGTTCCCAGGTTAGTGTGCCTTTTCTTCTTTTGTTCCTTAATTAGAAGAAAAGGCACACTAACCTGGGAACTTCCTCTCTGCCCAGAACATTGGAGGCTATACACCACACCCCCTCAACAGTATTTATAGGAACTCAAACACTGAGATCCTGCTCTGTTCCAGTAACAAGAAGCCGAAAGCACCAGCCTGAAGATGACGAGTGAGACCTCGTCGAAACGTCGCCTAGACACCCCAACTTTTACACGGGAAGACACCCGAGGACACCAAAACCTGCATTCCTGTACCCGTGAAAATCTACGAAAGCATATATATATATATATATATATATACGAAATATAAATATATATAAATAATATATATATATATATATATATATATATATATATATATATATATATTATTTATACCCCGCCCATCTGGCTGGGTTTCCCCAGCCACTCTGGGCAGCTTCCACAGAGACCAAAAATACACCAAAATGTCACACATTAATATCTATCTATCTATCTATCTATCTATCTATCTATCTATCACCACCCTGTGATCACCAGATGAAGGATGATGTAGTTAGGAAATAATAAAATAAAAATAAAAATAATGACCCTGGGAATGGCACGTAGTCTCCTACTGGGAGCTCACTCTTGGTCCTGCTCAGCTGATGCCATGACCTTTGTTTACTTGTGATCTGCATCTACCATTCTTCATAAACAGGTCTGTTGGGATGCATCCAGACCACGTTAGGCCCCATTCAAACCAATGGATAAAGGTGCTTGATGACGTAATGGTTCCCAGGACTTTAGAAAGTTTTCTCCTAAAGAGTTACTCATATTTTAGTTGGGTGGCTAGGACTTGGCCTTATTGATGTGGTGTTGGGAAAGCATTTTATGTATTTTGTGGTGTGTTTACATTTATTTGTTTTAAATAGCTTTTATGTATTGTATTATATACTGTTAATCTGCTTTGAGACCTTCTCTTTTGTATAAAGTGACTGATGAATGTAATTATTACGAATAATAATAATCCCTAGTCTCATTGATTTCAATGGTAACAAAGTTCAACTAACTTACTCTGGATCCAGGTCATTGAACTGCATTCTTTGCTTCTCATCCAAAGAATGAGATGTTTTCCTCGGCTGTATATAAGCCTGTTTCTACATCTATACTCGAGTGAAGTTAAAAATTCAGTGGAAGGAGTGAGTGGCTAGAAAACGCAGGGATACCATAATCATGAAAAAGGGTATTTGATTTAAGACACTGTGCTAGATTGACAGATCACTTCTGCAGAGCAACTTGGAGCTCAGAAGAGAAACCCAGCAGTAAATGCCTGTTTCAGTAAGACCTTTCAGGAAGCGAGGCAGTTGAGTGTCATCCCCAGTTCTGCTTTGCTTCAAAACAGAAGCAGGCCTTCCTGGAGATAGTTGCCTTAAGTGGTAGGTTTTGGGTGTTGCTAAGGGTAGCAGCAGATTGGAAGACAGGTAGGTCTGATCCCTAGAGTGCAACAGCAGGAACTACCCCTGTGTAAGCCCAGTGGAAATGAGCAGGACCTCTGCATCTTAAGGCCAAAGTGAAGGAACCTCCTGCTGGATGTTTGGCTGTAATGCTTTCCAGGAGCCTGGTGTCCTCTAGATCAGTGTTTCCCAACCTTTTTTGGGCAAAGGCACACTTGTTTCATGAAAAAAATCTCGAGGCACACCACAGCCCCGTGACGTCAGCGCGCAGCGTCACGCCGGGAGGGACGCACGAAAGTGTAAGTTTCAATTCCCCCCCCCTTGCCTTCCTTCTGTGCCAACCGCCAAAAAGCCAAGAATCGCGGGACCGCCGGCGGAGGGGGGGAGGGCGAGCGGAGGCAGCGGCGAGCCCCGTTCCTCCCCATCCGCCCCATTCCGTGCAAGGAGCGCGAACAGGTGTGAGAAGGGGGTCAAACCTGCGGGCCGGCGCCGGGGAACCTCCAAGCTTTGGGGGTGGGGGGGAGGAGGCAGCAAAGCGAGGCAGGAAGGAGAGCGCGGCTTGGCTGGGTGAGCTTTGGCAGGGGCAGGGAATGAGAGCCGCGAGGCGGGCGCTGCGGACGGAGGCGCTGCCCGCCGAGCTCGCAGGCAGCCAGGCAGGCAGATGGCGAGAGCCCCGCGCTGGGCGGCCTCTCCTGGGAAGTTTCAAAGCTGTAGTTAACTTTTTTAGATTATTATAAAAAAAATTGAATGCTGGAGCACGATTTCTGTTCTCATCCTGAAGCAAAGTTCTTAACCCAAGGTAATATTTCTGGGTTAGTGGAGTCTGTAACCTGAAGCCTCAGTTACCCGAGGTACCACTGTCCCATGTAATGTAGTTTTGTGTTTTTGTGTTGTGAGCCTTGGATGTTAAACAGCCACCACCACCGCAGGCCCTTAAAAACAAGGTACTTTCATATTCATCTTTACTTGGAGGCAAGCCTCCCTCTTCCCAAGGGGGCCACTTCCCAATTCAGAGTGCTTGGCATCCTAAGGAGGGGAGCAGCGCTGGATTTGGGACGCTGCTGGCGGCAGAGGGGCGCAAATAACAACACTGAACAGATCCGTTGGAAAAAGCAGCTGTACCAAAATGAATTATTGCGAAAATGAGGGATATTTGAGGGAGGGGCCGTCAAATGTTGTCCTCGCCCAGGACGCCACTTGAAGGAAGCAGCGGGGGTGGACGCGGGTTGGAATCCTCTCAGCCCGGCCTCCCTCACAGGGTTGTTGTGGGGGGTAAATGGCGGGGAGCCCCGCCCGCCCCCCCCCACCGGAGCTCCTGGGAGGGAGAAAAAGGAATGCGAAAGCGCTAATAATAAAAGCCAATTTATATATGTGGAGAGAGGGAGGGAACCCTGAGGCCGCGTCAGGCCCACAAAGGCGGGAAGGGGCCCCTCAGCCGCGCAGGAGGCGCCTGTCCCGCAAGAGGCCGGCAAAGGTCACCTCTGACGCCCTTGCGCCTCCCTCCCTCCATTGCGCGCGCAGCGGGGGGGGCGTCGCTCACCATCCTCCGTGGCTGCGCGTGGCGGCTGCAGGTCGGCGGGCCCCTCTGGCGTGCGTGGACGGTGGCGCCCCTGGCGCAACTCAGGCGCTGGAGGGAGCGGAGCGAGCGGTACATGGCGGAGGCTGAGGAGCGAGGCGCCGCGGGCGGGCGAGGGGGAGGAGGACGGAGTGGGCGGAGTCGCAGCCAATGGGGTGGAAGAAACCCACGTTTCCTTTTTGAAAGAGAAACTTTTAAACGAGCGCGTGGTTGAAGAAGGCGCTTGCCCAGCTCCCCTCTGCGCCTCGGAGGGCGGGTTTGAGCACGCGCAATGCGCCGCCCTCCCGCCCTGCGCCGCCGCCGTTTCGCGCTCCTCCCTTTTGTGCACGCTGCCCCCCCATTGGCCGGGTCCTGTCAGCTGATCCTGTGTTATTTCCTGTGTGTGTGTGAGGGGAGAATGGAGAGAGAAACCTCGGCACCATCACCGCGGAGCCGCCCCCGGCTCGACGCGGATCCTCGCCGCCGCCGCCCCGCCTCTCGCTGCCCGACTCGCCCGCCTCCCTCCCACGGCACACCAGGCAACGTCTCGCGGCACACTAGTGTGCCGCGGAACACCGGTTGGGAAACACTGCTCTAGATGTTTGGGGCTAAAACTCCCATCTGTCCCAGCCAACAAAGCCATATTTCCTACTCCAGCACAACCTTCTTGGCTGGGGCTGCTGGAAGTTGTAGTTTAAAACATCTGGAAGGCATTGAGTTGGGGAAGACTGTGGTTTCCAGTGTGGCAGAAGAGATGGGGGTTATGGAACAGTCCATAGACTGCTCCACTGATGAGGGGAAAGCATTTGGAAATGACTTCTTAATAGCACCAAGTGGAATATGCTGTTTGTAATGATTGCAATCTGCCCTGGCCTCATGGAAGGCAAATACGGAGGGGTGATCTCCGAAGGCAGCATGAAAAAAGGTTGCTGAACAAATTCCTGGTGTGGGAGACTCAGGAGAGCAGACTCAGCCTGTCTGGAATGCGAGGGGGAGGGGAGAAAGTCATCCTGCCACCATTATTCAAGCCACTCTTTTGTCCAGTTGCCCCCCCCCCAGCACTTTAAGGATTGGCTGTGTTTCTTGGAAGCTTGGTGAAAGAAGTATTGCTTGGCTTAACAGAAAGCCATGGCAACCTGAGCAGGCAGATGACAGAAATTCCCAGAGTATTGGCAAGGAACATTCTTCTGCACCACCATAGGCATTGAGCCTGAGCAGACATGGCTGGCTCCCGGAGACTGCAGCCCAGCGGCCTCAAAAGCTACCTCCAGGTCAGCTACAGTGGCTGCTGGCTAAGGAAGCCTATCACTCCTTGCCAGGCCTGTTGCTACAGCTGTTGCCCCAGACACAGCAGTGCCAGCAGTTGGGTGGCACACGTCGCTGTGGTCATTGTGTTCTAGGAGTCCCTGGGTGCATTTCCTAGGTGAGAGGAGGCTGGAGAGCTGGGCTGGAGATGGAGCCCTTAAAAGTGCACTCCATCTTGTTTTTTATTTGCAAATATAACAGGGAAAAAGAAAAGGTTAATTGATAGACAGATATATATTAAACAAACCATTGCCAATTGACCCAGGAAAGCCCTGCTGTATTTGGCAGTTTTGCTGATTTTGATATGCTGCCTTTGGGTTCCTACTTTGTGGTTGTGCTGCTGGGTTCTTTGCCTGCTTGGATCCCTTTCTTTCTTTGGGCCTTAGCAGGCAGAAGGAGATCATGTTCTAGAGCAGCCTGGTGCCCTTCAAATGTTTTGGACAGCAACTCCCATCAGCCCCACCCAGCACAGCCATTCAAGGATGCTGGGGCTGATGGAACTTGTATTCTAAAACATCTGGAGGGCACCAAATCAGCAAAGGCTGCTCTGGAAACTGGCGGGGTGCAAGGAGGGGGTGGGATACATGTGCATAGAAAGATAATAGTAATCTAATTTAGAATGTAGTCACCACAAATTCTATAAATTTGAAGCAATGGTAAAGGCTGAGAATTAATGGAAAACCAGAAGAAACCAGTAAGAAATGAATGCTCTTGTGTAACTCACATTCACAACAGTGAGGCTTGTGCAGGAGGAACTGGTGCCATTAGTTTTGTCCATCGACAATGGCCTTCAAATGTGGTGCTAACTGGTATTGATGTGGAAATAAGCTTCCTTGAAATCATGGGCAGCGTTCAAGTGTACATGCTGGATGAATTTAAGAAATAGGGAATATCTGTGTGGCCATTAGTTAAATACGAAGGACTTGCTTCTCTGTACCAACTTCCTGTCCAAAATAAGCAAATATTTCTGCATTTTGGCTGGACCAGTAATGAAGTTAATGGTTTTCTTACTAAACATTGTTTCTTGACTAAACAACTCTACGTTGCTTGGCTGTTACTTTGAGAGTGAAGTCCAATATAAGCAGGTTTATTCTGGTCTGTGCCTCTGGCCCTCTTAACTTCCATGGTTGGTCAGTCCTCCTCTTACCACCCAGGTTTAGTCTATAATATGACCTGAGTAGTCACAGGCTTTGAGGTAGCATTTGGGAAATGAGAGAAAGAACAATATGCACTTGTGAATATTCATAACTATGTGCCTCCTGAGTTTTTTTGTTTTTGTTTTTTAAGAATCTGCTTAAGAGTTTGCCTCTGCCTATTTGTCCGGGAAGAGATGGCTGATTCCTGTGGCCTCCATCTGTTCCTAGCTGTGCAGCATGCGATAGAGGGCCTCCTGCAGGCTCAGTGGGGGGCATTCCTCTTGTCTGTGATGGGAGGCTCCCTCCCTGCTTGGAGTGGTGTGTGCTTTGGCTGGGCAATGTGAGCAGGAGATGTTTCTCTGGCAACATGAGTGCTGCATGCTGACCTGACTGAACAGCAGCCCACAACTGAGGGAGATGGAGTTGCTGCACTGCAGAGTCATAGCTGGGATTGCCTCCCCCTTCCCTTCCCTTCCCCTCCCCTTCCCCTTCCCCTCCCCCCTCTCCCCTCTCCGCCTGCTCGCTTGCATTCAGCCTGGCTATAGGGAGAGATGTGCAGGGCTGGCGGGCTGCACTTCTGACAATAGTGCATCAGTCCTCGCAGGCAGCTCCAGATTCGTTGGCGCCGGAGCCCGGCTCCAATGGCAGCCCCTGGCTGAAGCAGAGCCTCATAGCGAAGGGCTGGCATGTGGGAAGGGCTTGCTTTTGTCTCTGCAGGAGGATGTCGGACTGTGACACAATGCTTGTTTGTTTGCAATAGCTGAGACCATCCTAAGAGGGCAAGAGGCAGGGGCAGATCGGAGGAGGGAAGACCGGCAGCCAGCAGCGGCGGCAGGGGAAATTGAGAGCCGAGACATCGCACCTTTCCCTCTTGTGCCCAGAAGTGAGTGAGGGAAAGAGAGGCAGAAGAGAGGAGGAAGGAAGAGAAAGATTGTGAGAGAGAGAAAGAGGACGATGTGTCAGTCAAGCGCCCTGCAGGGACCAGAACTGCACTCAGGGAAATGGTGAGATGCTGCAAAGCTTTATCTAACCCTCCTCGTTCTTGCTGCAACCTCCACAAAGTTAGAATTCATGTCCGGAGGCTGAGCTCAGGGAATGGTGGCAGCAGCGGCAGCTGTGCTGGGGAGCAGCACCCGCAGCTGGAAAATCCGGGCCCAGGTGGGGGCACCCCAAATAGGAGAGCCCGTTTCAGGTACTGTCTAGCATATGTTTTGCTTTGTCAGAAGGTGCTGGAAGGAAGGGGGAGGGGGGAAGGAAGGGGAGGAAGGGAGGGAGGAAGAGTGGCAGCTGCCTGCAAAGCCTTTGTTTGGCCCAATTTACTCCCAAGCTCTTTATGTGCTTGATTGACAGTCAAAGTGGGTGTTGCACTGGAGTTGGGCATCCTTTCCCCCTTCCAAGCCTTTTTGAGGAGTGGGGCAAGAGTGAAATAGAGCAGTTGGGTGTGTGTGTGGAAAAGAAGGGCCATGTGGGGGCAAGCAAGGATGCTTTACAGCTAGCTGCAGCTCTGCGGGGATTGGCCCATGATTGTCTGCAGTGAAAGGGGGGAGATGGAGGAAGAAGAAGGAGGCAAGAGAGAGGCATCTTTTTCTTTGAGCTCCCCTCTGTGGGTCCAGCCAGTGAGAGGAGGCTGAGCAGCATCCATGAGGCCCCATTACAGCCTCCCCCCTCCAGGCCGAGCTTCCTGTTGAAGATTAGTAAACTTTACTCTTCTTTGGCCCTAAGGAAACCTGGCTGCCCCTTATTTGTGGGGAATTGCTTGAGCCTTCATTGACCTCATTAGGACCCCAAAGCACTCCTATTCCCCAATTTTCACTCTGGGTCCAGATCCTGACCAGAATGTGTGCTTGGAAGCGTCCCATAGGCTCTCTTGCCGCTTCCTCCTTAGAAGGAAGTAAAGGGATGGGTTCTTCTTCTCTCCCTGATATGGGTGGACTGTGTGTGGGCAAGGAACAGGCCTACTAAGCAAGTGATCACTTTTAGGCTCAAAGGAGATTGAAGTGCCAGTGGCTGCAGCCAAGTGGAGGTTTATTCAGTTGTTGTTCCAAAAATGTAGGTAATTTAAAACAGAAAAGCAGAGAATTGCCTGTCCAGAAAGAATAATAAAAACAGAACTGGTCTTTCCCAGTCGTATCTTTTTTTGCTTTTGTCCAGTGAGAGGTTCCTCTCGCCTCAGTCCCATGGCAAGAGGTGTAGAACCCCTTGACTTTATGAAGGCCCAGGGAACTGTTTAGGAAAAAAATAAGGGGATTGGCTTTTGCTGCCAAACTCTCCAAGGGGCCAAGTCCCCTAAGTCCTTGATCGGTCAGAGATCAATTGATGGGGGCAAGATCCATAGAAAGCAAGGCAGATCTTTATTTTTCTGTTGCAACAGAGTTCCCTCCCCTCCTTGCAAGGAGGTAGGAGAGACCTAGAACAATGGTGCGCAAGCCCCTATAAAGACTTTTGAAATTGCCTACCCTGTAACCCAAGACCACCCCCCAAAACATCATGCATACATCACAGAAGGAGGCGGTCTCCAGCAGAAATTTGAGAGTGTTGCTTCTCTCCGGTCTGCCAGGATACCTGATATTTTCTGGGTAGCCTGGCCATTCCTTTGAGATGATAAACACTTTAGTTCCTGAATATCTTACACATAATGATAGTTTAACAGATACTTGCCAGACTGTATTTGCAGGGAGGTGTAAGCCCCTACAGTCCAAAGACAATTGGAAAGCTTTTCCCATTTCCTTCCTCCTTGCAGAGAAATATTTGAGGTCAATTTGAGAGAGTCAAAATGGCTTCAGGATTACTCTCCTGTACTATTTCCGATACGTACCGTATTTTTCACTCTATAAGA